TCTCTCCCAACTACCTGAGTACGATTCTTTCTTATGTCCCCTTGATCTTCTCTCTTTCTTTTCTCAACTCATTCTGTTGTAATAAACAGACTTAGACGAAGACAGACGAACAGACAGACAGACTGACAAACAGACAAACAGATGGATATTTCAATTAAATGACAGTTATTTATTTTTCTCTTAGCTTGATTGAAGAAATGCCAGACACTCTAACCATTCAGCTGAAACACTTTCATGCTGAACACTAGATCGCCATTGCTATCCGTCATATACTAAAATACATTCCGAAGCTCCAAAAATAATCTTAGAATCAAATATAATAATGTTTTTTTTTTGCAATTAGATCTCAAATTGCTTCATTGGTTCAGTTTCGCGAGAAACACCTTTTTGTTTTTCGCCCTACAAGTCTGTATGGTGTCGTGCACGCATGAAAAAGAAGGGGGGGGGGGGGGTAAATGAGAAAGTCAAGGACGTTGCGTGAGAATTTCTCTTTCCTGCATGTCATGGAAATCTGCCACACGAATCTGTCACGTTGATGAAGATGACATTATTGCGAGTTAAAAATCTGCAGGATTGGCGAACGAATGATAAAGAAAAGGAAATATGTTGGAGAGATGTTATATTTATACATGCATACAATTTTTAACTTTTTATTTTTATGGATCTGTGTCACCTACCTTCGTTTGTGATGCGGTCACTGCGTCAACAAAATGAGAAAACCTGAAACAGGATCACAATGTCGATTTGGCCCCATTATGACTTTTTGACCGCTGTAGAAAACAAAAAGTGCCATGTGAGACTACACGGTCATATTACGAGATCCCCAGGGATCGTCAAAGCTTTTCTGCAGGGAACAGTACCAGGGAAAAAGAGAGAAAGTGATGACAGAACATATTAATGGAAAATGCTTTAAGCCTGGCAAAAGACAGTGAGGAATGGAGAGATACGGTCGACGGATCTTGTGTGATGCCCTAATAGCTCAACAGATCAAAGGAAATGGGAGGATGGTGCTATAAGCTACAAGCCCTCAAACTTACTATTTAGAGTCCTGTATATTCATCTTTCATTTGATGATAACTGGAAATTTAACGGCAGCTTTTTCTTTAATCTTGATTCAAGGATGCATTCGGAAGTCAGAACGTCAAACCTAGTGATGCACAAACTACGGCCTGCTCATTGCTAGCAGAGTGGCTACCGTGTTGGCTTGAGAAGCATGAGAAGGCTTTAGCCCACGAGTTTGAATTCGGGTCGTTCACTTTTTGTTACAAAAATATTTCAAAAACGAATCAGTCAGCTACTCCCCCCCCCCCCCCCGTTATGTCTCTCGCGCCCCTTCCCAACTGGTCCACACAAGGGAAAGGATCATAGCGTAGTGAGAACGCTAAAAGAATGAAATGGTGCTAAACAAAAACAATTGGTAAAAGTATTTCTAGTCGCGCAGATTTATTATTGTTAGACTAGATCTTTTACATATCACACGCTGATCCAAACTAATTGATACAATTAATATAAGCTTTCTTGTTTGTTTGTTGTTGTTTTGCGTGTGTGTGTGTGTGTGTGTATTTTGCTTGTTTATCTATCATTCATTCATTATATAATTATTAATTATTAATATTTTAAAAAATCGCTGTATAAAGGAAGACTTGTCCTTTTGGGAAAACAAAACAACTTTCTTTTACACTACCTGTTAGCTATACTTCTTTTTTTTAAGCAAAACTTATTCCATTAATTTATTTAAGCAAAGCTTCACCGATTATTTTATTCAGAAGAGTCTGCAAGGGGGATATTTAATAGATTTGTAGCCATTCTAGTTCGCATCTTGTCTTTCTTATTGGCACCGCGTTCAACCGTTCCAATCGACATTAGAAGAAATTAAAATAAAACAGCTGACATCGTTGTCGTCTGCTACTTCTGCAGAGATTGCTAGGCTAGGCTGAGGCTAGGGATGTCTCTCGTGGAATGAATTGTAGACTCTTTAGTTTGTTCACGTCTAGACACATTTATTTGGAGTATATTATTCAAGACAGATGTAAGCCTGACCCGTCTCGTGATATGTTACCTTATAAGAGTCTTTTAGAAAGTATAGTTCGAAATTTTAAAGTAAATAAATATATTTAAAAAATTGTACAATAGTTTTTAAATCTAGATTTGAATATTTAAAATTCGAAAACTGGATTGATCGAGTACTGGGATGTGAAAACTGGATTGATCGAGTACTGGGATTTGAAAACTGGATCGATCTAGTACTGGGAAGTGAAAACTGGATTGAGTACTGGGAAGTGAAAACTGGATTGATCTAGTACTGGGAAGTGAAAACTGGATTGATCTAGTACTGGGAAGTGAAAACTGGATTGATCGAGTACTGGGAAGTTCCAATAACATAAAAAACAGAATGTGTTTCCCCCCCCCCCCTCCCTCTCTTTTAACGTGTAACATTGTTTAGTCCCGTACACCCCCCCCCCCCTCTCTCTCCCCAAGGTTATCAAAACAATGTCTTCATGTCAAAAGTTTAAAGTTCAAAGGTTTTTGTAGACCCGAGCTCAACCTTCATATTTTGTCAAATCTAAGGCAGAGACAAAGTCCTTGTCTTGGGTGGCGGGGAAGTATTTAATGCTTATTACCTAACTTTTTAAAATTTAGCCATGTTTCGTCAGGTATAAGAAATAATTGTGCAAAATTTCAACAACAGTGAAATGCAGCTGGGAGTTTGAGGAAAGTTGGCTAGCTTGTTCTGCAGCTGGGAGTTTGGGGAAAGTTGGCTAGCTTGTTCTGCAGCTGGGAGTTTGGGGAAAGTTGGCTAGCTTGTTCTGCAGCTGGGAGTTTGGGGAAAGTTGGCTAGCTTGTTCTGCAGCTGGGAGTTTGGGGAAAGTTGGCTAGCTTGTTCTGCAGCTGGGAGTTTGGGGAAAGTTGGCTAGCTTGTTCTGCAGCTGGGAGTTTGGGGAAAGTTGGCTAGCTTGTTCTGCAGCTGGGAGTTTGGGGAAAGTTGGCTAGCTTGTTCTGCAGCTGGGAGTTTGGGGAAAGTTGGCTAGCTTGTTCTGCAGCTGGGAGTTTGGGGAAAGTTGGCTATCTTGTTCTGCAGCTGGGAGTTTGGGGAAAGTTGGCTAGCTTGTTTGACAGCTGGAATGCCCAGACTACGTGAAATGTGGGTAGCTTGTTCTGCAGCTGGTATATTAAGACTAAGTGAAAGTTGGGTAGCTTGTTCTGCAGCTGGGATGCCAAGACTAAGTGAAAGTTGGGTAGCTTGTTCTGCAGCTGGGATGCCAAGACTAAGTGAAAGTTGGATAGCTTGTTCTGCAGCTGGGATGCCAAGACTAAGTGGAAGTTGGGTAGCTTGTTCTGCAGCTGGGATGCCAAGACTAAGTGAAAGTTGGGTAGCTTGTTCTGCAGCTGGAACGCCAAGACTAAGTGAAAGTATGGTAGCTTGTTCTGCAGCTGGAACGCCAAGACTAAGTGAAAGTATGATAGCTTGTTCTGCAACTGGAGCGCCAAGACTAAGTGAAAGTTGGGTAGCTTGTTCTGCAGCTGGGATGCCAAGACTAAGGGAAAGTTGGGTAGTTTGTTCTGCAGCTGGGATGCCAAGACTACGTGAAAGTTGGGTAGTTTGTTCTGCAGCTGGGATGCCAAGACTAAGAGAAAGCTGGGTAGCTTGTTCTGCAGCTGGAGCGCCAAGACTATGTATCAGTAAGAAATTATGTTGACTATTACTCCCTTCGAGCACATGAAAGAGTGGTAGGGTCCCCTTAGCCCCGTAGCTGAGCATAGACCATCTCTCTCTCTCTCTCTCTCTCTCTCTCTTCCTCTCTCTCTCTCTCTCTCTCTCTCTCTCGTGGTCCCCTTCGCCATTCGTGCAGAACGCGACATTCTAAAAGAACTTGTCTACCGTCTCATCTTCCTATCATCCTCTAAGCAGTGGCGATACCTTTGTGTCAAATCTGCTCTAGTCATCCGCCTCCGAGGCTCACGCCTCTTGTCCATAGCATCCCAGTTATCATACCAAAATGCCTACAACGGTTGTGAGCTAAGGATTGAATACGCCCAGACTACGTGGAACTTAAGTAGCTTGTTCTGCAGCTGTGATGCCCAAACTACGCCCAGCGGGTCATATCTAGCCAGTGACGTGGTACTTTCCGGCCCCTCGAGACTTCTGCCCACTGTGTATTTTGAAGCCTTTAAGCAGCAGATGATTCGTTCCTTTAAACTTTTCGTATTGTTTTTTTAAACGGCGAATCGGCCGGTGTCAGAAGTCTTTGAAATCTTTCCTCCTGGTTCTACGTGCAACAGTACACAACACCATAATTGCATATCACAAAGCTCAACAGAGTTAGTGATCAAAGACTCTCAGTGGTCTTTCATCAAAAGTCGAGCCCGCCCCTGAGGCTTTCTATGTCCCATTCTTATCGCTCACCATGCCAACAAGCTAACACAACACACAATTACGTACAGTCTAGCAGACCAAAAAGTATCGCTCGTTGGAACGAATCTCTTTCTCAAAAACACTTAAAAGAGAAGTCATGTTATTATTGTAATTAAAGGCGGAGCTGCAACATAGAGGTCAATTAAATTTCATCCATCAGATATAAAAGAACCTCCCCTGAAGTAATCAAATGAATTCGCGTAACAAATCTCTCGTGCCATATCGGATAACACAAATAATAATTGACGTATTGTAACTTAAACTTGAAACATCCAAACCAAGATTATTTACGTTTAACCCTGAGCTGTTTTACAATGAGTGCATACACAAGTCTGATGTTTAGAGGCTAAACTACCACACGCGTTTTAAGGGTTAATAATAGAATAATTAAACAATTATTATGACGGTCTTGTTCTGCTCATAGCATTAGGTTGTTTTTTATTTTGTTGCTAGTTGTATGGCGATGTCTGGCTGGTAAAAGGCTATGGTCTTGTTGATCATTTGTGACGTCATTGTTTATTTTGTTTGCATTGCATGGTTCGGATGTTCATTTAGAGTTGACGATTTTTACATCCTTGACCAAACCTCTAGCAAAGCGTCGATAGAATTCAAGGGAGGAAAAGCAGGTCTCGAATCCTGGACCTTTGTTACAGTAGTCCAGAGCGCGCACCACATAACCAGGAAGCCATCCATATCTTGCTTATATGATAACGTTATTGTCTGACGTCCAAGCATAACGTTATTGTCTTGCTGTTGATGTGACGTCATTGTCTTGCTGTTGATGTGACGTCAATGTCTTGCTGGCGGCTGTTTGACGTTTCTGTCTTGCTGATGATAAGACGTTAATTGTATTAATTGTTCCATAACATTTATACCATGGGGAACTTAAAGTTGTAAAGTTGCGGGAACTTCTTAGCAAGCGGTTTATTAGTGAATAGCTAGTCTAACACATTGTCTGCTTATTTTTATTTTGTTTGATATGAAAATAAGGGGAATAACTGCTACTTAAACAAAGATGTGGGTGTATGTATGGAGTTAATCCCCTTATTGCGTTTTGACACGTTTTTTCTCCCACTTCTCATTCTCGGATCAAGTTGAAATTTTGCGTAATGATTCATAGTTGATGATAATATCCGAATCAATCCAAAAATTAACCAATTAGTTGATCATTTAGTACTTATTAATAAATTTTGTTTTATATAACAGAAAGGGAGCTAAACCCTGTGATTTTCAGATAAATGGCAGTAATCAGCGGTTCTTTCCCTTAAATAAGCTTTGTTGTTTTTTTTTTATAATTTCTATTGCTTGTTAAAGTTTTTCTAGTAAGTGTCAAGCACTTAATAAATATTGATAGAGGACAGAACACCTTTCAGTGTAAGGAAGGAAAATAACATGATTTGGCCCCGGTTCGAACTTCCTATGCTAGTCCGTTATGTGGCATTATGTTACCACTGGGAGAACATTGTGAATTATGATCTTTTGTATAGTTTACCTGAAAAATAGTTGTTAACTCATTAATTTTCACTATCTTTAAATCTTTCATTCTCTCTCTCTCTCTCGTTCTTTTTCTACATCTTATTATTTTTTTAAATCTTTCTCTTTTTATTCTCTCTTTTTCACTATTTCTTTTCTCTCTCTTTCTATCTCTCTCTTATGTCCGTTCTTTCTTTCTTTCTCTTTCTCGCTTTCTCTTTTTATTTCTCTCTTTTTCTTTCTTTTTCTCTTTAATTCTCTTTTTTACTCTTTCCCCCCTCCTCTCTCTTTCTCTCTCTCTCTCTATGATCTCTTTTTCTTTTCCTTTCTCTCATTCTCTGTCTATCTCTGTCTCTCTCGTTCTCTGTAAAACTCTCAGTTATAATTAGATACTTCCTAATGCAACCTGAGGTTAATTGTATTAGTTATTAATTTGCTTTTTTTTTTTCAAATCAATAATTTTTATGTTTGAGACTAGCAGGCCAGTGACCTTGACAGTGATCGGTGTGATCAGGTCATGTTAACAAACTGAGATATGTCGACACAGACGGATGGCCTGATATACTGGTCGCTTTAAGGTAGAGGGAGAGAGTGTCAAAGAGAGAATGAGAGAGGAAGAAAGCATGAGAGACAAAAAAGAGAGAGCGAGAAAGAGAGCGCGAAAGAGTAGACTTTGGTACACTGACAGAGAGAAAGAGAGAAAGAGAGAGAGACCGCTCGATGGAGAGAGTGTGTGAGAGTGAAAGTGAGAGAGAGACAAAAAAGCGCGCGCTAGAGATAGAGAGTAAAGAGTAGAAGTTTGTACACTATGAGTGAAAGAGGAAGAGAGTGAAAGAGAAAGAGAGAGAGACAAGAGAGAGAGAGCGCGCGAACGAGTAGAAGCTGCTACTCTGAATTTACAAATGAATGATCCTGATTTTTACTTAATTAATGCCCAGCCCATGGCCCGTGGGACAATTCCGACCCATAACGAGGTGCATAGTTCATAGTAAAGCCGCAGAGAATCGAATCCATCGCACATGACGGCATTTCGCTGTGATGCGCCCCATGACATAGTTAGATGTTTCCCAGACGCCTAAAAGATTGGACACCATTGTACCTATACATCGGGGTTTTTTCAAAGCAACTAGAACTTAAGACCTTCTTTTGTCTTTCTAGAGACTACAAACTTGTTTAGTGAAGAGATTAACAAAAAAAAAACTAGAAAATAAATGAGAAAGAGAAGCGACAGACAGACAGACAGAGTAAATAAATTACAAATTTTCTGGGCAAAAAAAAAAAAAAAAAAAGGAAAACAAATGAGGTGAAGAAGAAAAAAGAAGTTGAAAAAAAAAAAACAAGCTTCTGAAATTGATTGCAATCTAGACACTTCAACTGAAGGGAACAAAATGCTTAGAGTTTTAAAAGGGTCGAGATCTAGATCTAATACATTTTAATTTCATTGCAAAAATCCTTTGAAGAAGTGAAATATGAGGGGGGGGGGAAGGTCTGTCCATTTAAAATTTCAACATGACCGGAAGTACAAAAAGAATGAAAAGAAACGAAACAAATGAAGTCGTAATGACGAAATACTGCGCTAAGAGACAGAGAGAGAGATGGAGGAATTGAGAGATTAAAAAAAAAGAAGAGAGGAGAAAGAAAAAGGGAGAGAAAGAGGCGGGAGAATGGGAGGTACAAATTTAAAACAATACGCGATGAAATTGTGCTCAGCATGAGCTGAACTAAATGTGATGTGTGTGTTTTTTGTACGTTTGAAAGGAATAAAGCTGTAATAACGTTCACAGTTGAAACACGTGTAGATCCTTGTCAAGTATTTGTACAGTAGGTCCTTGTCAAGTATTTGTACAGTAGGTCCTTGTCAAGTATTTGTACAGTAGGTCCTTGTCAAGTATTTGTACAGTAGGTCCTTGTCAAGTATTTGTACAGTAGGTCCTTGTCAAATAATGGTACAGTAGGTTCTTGTCAAGTATATGTACAGTAGATCCTTGTCAAATATTTGTACACTATGTCTTTGTCAAGTACTTGTACAGTAGGTCCTTGTCAAATATTGGTACAGTAAGTCCTTGTCAAGTATTTTTTTCAGTAGGTCTTTGTCAAGTATTTGTACAGTACGTCATTGTCAAGTATTTGTATGTGTTGTGGCTTGCGCACTGAAAATTTATTTACGTGAGGGATATTTGCACTACATCAGCCTCACTCTCACGCCCCTTGGCAGCTAAATCTAATGGCAGAGCAGAGTCCAGACAACTGGAGCTGGTTTGGGGTGCAGTGGATGACCAGTGTGCTCTACATGTCCCACAGTGCTCCAAAACGTTTTTTAGCGTTTGTTAGATGACGCCTGATGGCCCTGGTAGTCTAATTCGACTTGAGCGCCTTGCAGCCGCAACTAGATTTCACGTGCTGGTGGTGGACAGAGACCATAGTTTCACCAGATACTAAATCTGGCTAACCCTCACCTGGTTTGGCCGCCAGTCGAGACGGTTTGCCGAGTGTGACCGTTGCCGTATGGAGATAACTTCTTGGAGCCACAGTAAAGAGCTGGGATTTGAGTGGAGACCAAGGTCAATGAGCTGCTCAGGAAACCCGACTGCCGACTGAGGTACTGATCCTCCTTCAGAGCCCCATAAACAAGTATTTGTATAATAGGTCCTTGTCAAGTACATGTATAGTAGGTCCTTGTCAAGTACATCTACAGTAGGTTCTTGTCAAGTACATCTACAGTAGGTTCTTATTAAGTACATGCATAGTAGGTCCTTTTCTACTAATGTCAGGTAGTTCCTTATCAAGTTATGCTTAGTAGGTCCTTTTCTACTAATGTCAGGTAGTTCCTTATCAAGTTATGCTTAGTAGATCCTTGACAAGTAGGTGTATGGTAGTTCTTTTGTAAAATGCATGTATACCAATAAAACAAAAATATTCTACACCCAATCGACTGACTATCAAAATTGATGCCTAAAGATTAATTCAAACTCATCTGATAGATGTTCAATAAAAAAAATGTTAACAATCTTAGTTTGTTAGAGAGCATGCACATTGTAACAAACTTTCTATAAGGACAACATTTCAGGAATGGTCCGCTATTGAACGATACCAGGGGCGGACTGGCTGTATTGGCGTTTGGGCAAATGTTCGGTTGGCCGGCTAAGAATGGGCCGGTGGGGCAGCCGACAAATGAACCACTTGAACGATAGTCAGACTGTAAATAAGTGTATTCACTTCCTCTTTATGTTGATATTGATAAATACGTTCTACAAGACATTGATTTGGACACAATCATAAACAATGTGCCAGCGACTAGTTTGTAGATGTTTACGTCGCTTCTTTAGCGGCCCCCGAAAGGGGAGAAGACGCTATTTTTGATTCTGATATTCTTTCTGAAAATATTGAAACCTGCTTTTTTACCTGGCTGGGTGGACCACTTCGGGGGCCGATTTTGAGTTTGTGTCTCCACACAAACTATTTTTGTAACCTTATTTTTTATGTACTATGTTTTACTCTTGTAGTCCTGTCAAATCATTTCCGAATCATGTTATCAACCTCTCTCGTCTGAATAATTAAGATTGCGATTGTTATGTAGATTTTTGTTTTAAATTTCGTGTACCTGTAAGTCTGTATGTACAGTACTTTACGTCAGCTGACGCCTGCAGGAGTTCAGTTTTTGATGCTTGATCAAGCTTTACATATTATAACGACAAATACCAATATGGGGCGATAGTAAGTAATGCCAGGACATCCTGAATGATACATAGAGTCAAACACACACAATAATATTTAATTATTTAACATTTTTGTTGGTTCAGAGAGAGAAAGAGAGAGAGAGACAGAGAGAGACAGAGAAAGACAAAGACAGAGAGAGACAGGGGGAGATAGAGACACAGAGAGAGACAGATAGAGAGACAGAGAGAGAGAGGGAGGTAGAGAGACAGACAGAGACAGAGAGAGAGAGAGACATAGACAGAGAGAGACAGAGTGACAGAGACATAGACAGAGAGAGAGGTTGAGAGAGAGGAGACAAAGAGAGACAGAGAGATAGACAAAGAGAGAGAAGCGCAGAGAGACAGTGAGAACAGAGAGACAGAAAGAAACACAGAGACAGAGAGAAACACAGAGACAGAGAGAGAGAGACAGAGACACAGATTGGGAGAGACAGAGTAAACAATTAATAAACGGTTTTGCTTCGAATCTCAATCGTTTCAATTTAGGATTTTACCAAAATAATAGAAAATTTTTATCAAAATACAACAAGAACATTTTTATCAAAATACAACAAGAAAACTTTTATCAAAATACAGCAAGAACACTTTTAACAAAATACAACAAGAACATTTTTATCAAACTACAAGAACTATGACTCTAAAATGACCGTGGCCATGAATTTGTCTAGGTCTTACAACTTGATGCAGAATGTCTCTCATTGGCTTCTCTCTTTGTCAGGCATTGAACAACGAAGACATTACCAGCTCCCATAATTCATGTTAATTAATTCACCTCTCTGACTGGCAGTGGTGTTTGAGTAGAGCGGGCAGCAGAAGGTTCAAGCATTAGGCTCCGTAGGGGCAGTGTTCATTGCAGCTCATGCTCAGTGCAGCTCGTGTTCATTGCAGCTCATGTTCAATGCAGCTCATGTTCACTGCAGCTTGTGGTCATTGCAGCTCATGTTCATTGCAGCTGGTGTTCATTGCAGCTCGTGTTCATTGCAGCTCATGTTCATTGCAGCTCATGTTCATTACAGCTTATGTTCATTGCAGCTCGTGTTCATTGCAGCTCGTGTTCATTGCAGCTCGTAATCATTACAGCTCATGTTCATTACAGCTCGTGTTCAGTGCAGCTGGTGTTCAGTGCAGCTCATGTTCATTGCAGCTTATGTTCGTTGCAGCTCGTGTTCAATGCAGCTCGTGATCATTACAGCTCATGTTCATTACAGCTCGTGTTCAGTGCAGCTGGTGTTCAGTGCAGCTCATGTTCATTGCAGCTCATGTTCATTGCAGCTCGTGTTCAGTGCAGCTCATGTTCATTGCAGCTGGTGTTCAGTGCAGCTCATGTTGATTGCAGCTCATGTTCATTGCCGCTCATGTTCATTGCAGCTCATGTTCATTGCAGCTCGTGTTCATTGCAGCTCGTGATCATTGCAGCTGGTGTTCATTGCAGCACGTGTTCATTACAGCTCGTGTTCATTGCAGCTCGTGTTCATTGCAGCTCATGTTCATTGCAGCTCATGTTCATTGCAGCTTATGTTCAT